ATGTTTATATGACAAGGCTCTCACCTTTGGATAGGCTTTTCCCTCTCTGAACCCCACCCCCCTCCCCAGCTCAATTTCTCTATGTTCTTCCTCAAGCTTGACACCTGATTACAGATGAGGCAGACAGCAGTGAAAAAGGGAAGGGCTTCAAAGGTGCAGCAGTGCGCAGTCACAAGGGACGGCCTAGGGTTTGCCCTGTAGGAAAGGATTTGGCCTTTTCAGAGCTCCATGGCCACACAGGGCCAAGCAGGCAGTGCCTTCAGGGTCACAGGAAAGATGATGAAAGAGTAAAGGCCATGGAAGAAGGAAAGAAGGTCCTACCAAGACTGAGGAAGCTGGGCAATCTCTGCCTGGCTACTTGACTGCCTCTCAAACTCAAGTGTGGGTGGAAGGAAAATTCAGGGTCAAGTATGTAACAGAAGCAGTTCCTTGTTAGGCAGAGTGAGGACTACTGACAGAGAAATAAGAACAAACCTGAGAGTTGTGTGGAGCTTTACCCATCACAGGGCTTGTTACTTCTACTGGGCTCATTACCATCTTCTTTTCCTGAGAAAGATGGAGAAAAACACTTGGCCCTGCAGTTGGTCAGCAAAACCACTTAGAGGTCACGTTAATTTGGGCAAGCCACTTCCAGGACTTGGGTTTTACATATGTAAAAAGGGACATACTTAACTCCCAGAACAATCATGAGGATTGTTTATACTGAGTGTAAAACATCCATCAATGTAATGGTTCTGGATGCCAAATAAATGGTAGCTATCATCCAAATCATTTAGTGCAGTAGTCCTCAGCCTAGCCTCACAGTAGGAATCACCTGTAGAGGGGCGGCTGGCTGGCTCAGTCAGTAGAGCATGCGACTCTTGATCTCATCATGGTTGTGTGAGTTCAAGCCCCATGATGGTGTGCAGCCTACTTCAAACAAACAAACAAACAAATTAATAAATAAATAGAATCCCCTGTAGAACTTCTAAAAACACCACCCCTAGGCCTCAATCAGTACCAGAGCTAAGATTTAAACCCAAGTTTGTGGGATGCCTGGGCACACACGTTAGCCACTGCCCTACACAGCCGCCTTATGGGGCCTAGATCTGTTAAGTCAGAATCTTTGAGGGTATCTGTCGCAGGGTTATTTTCTCTTAAAGCTGCAACCCCTCATTCTCCCTCCAGGATATTCATGGGTAGCCAGGGATGCAAACCACCTTTTGAATCCAAGCCAAAGATTTTACAGAAGCTAGGGGAGAAGTTGAACAACGGGCTGAAGGTCACACACATAGTCCCATGAGCCGGTAAAGTCCCAGATTTCCCGGCAGGGATCTTTCCTCTTTCGGTTGGGAAGTTTTGCTTTGCTCTTTACTGGGCCTAATAGAGAAGAAATGAACAGGAAATTTTTGTTTTGTGGGTATGGGAGGAATCAAGCGCCAACTCCTGAACCAACTAGAGTGCAGGAGGTGCAGAAGTACCTGGCGGGGCCGGACAGAGCAGCGGGAAACGCGGTGATTCCAGGTTCGCAGTACCCTCAGCCCCTAGGCCAGCGCCTCCCTTTCTCGGAGGGCCTTTAACACCTGTGCGTCCTAACCCCGCTGAACCGCAGCGCGGACTCAGGACCCCCTACAGCCTCGACACTTCCCTTTTCACCGCTCTGTGGACGCGAATTACGCGACACTCCCACGTACCTACCCCAGGTTAGGAGTCCAAAACAGACGTTTCCGGACCAGCCCCAGATCCTGCCATTGGCTTTAGCCTTTGGTCACCTGACTTACTCGAGCCAACGAGAGGCGGCAGAATTAATACTTCCGCTTTCAGTGCGGCAAACGAGCCTCTGTTCCCGCCTTTCGGGTGCTCTGATTGGTCTTCCTCTCTCAGCTCGGCAATTTATTGGCCAGAGCCACGGGGCCGCAGTCCAGCGGGGTTCGAGGGCTGTGTGAGACAGCACCGCTGCGATGGCGTCCTATTTCGATGAACATGACTGCGAGCCGTTGGATTCCGAGCAGCAGGCCCGAACCAATATGCTGCTGGAGCTCGCAAGGTGGGTACGCGATGCTGGGAGGTGGGGGCGCAGGCAGCAGGTTTCTGGGCTGGGGCTGGCTGGAGAAGGCTGATTATATAGGGCCTCCATTCTGAGGAGGAAGGATGAGTAATCTGGAGAGTTAGTCCAGAGACGAGATTCGAGGGAGATCAATAATTTGGATCATACATAGACGGGCCGGGCAAAGAGATTGTGGGAAAGACTGTAACTGGAGAGTAGGGGCAGTAGGGAGCGGGAAGGCAGCCGGTTGTAGCAGGTGAGGGAGAATATGGGTGATGGGGGTAAGGGAAGGGCCGTGTGGGTGTGAGTAGGTACATTAGTTAGGAACACCAAGCACGGCAGCCAGCGCTGCCACTGGGAATCTGGCTTTACCAGGTCATTCCTACATAGCCTGAGTAACTTCTAAGCCTGTTGCCTCATGTGTAAAATGGGACTAAACTGCTTGCATGCTTGGGGTTGTCTTATAGCAGCTGTAAACCACTTCCCACTGTGCTTTTTATCTAGTGAGTACTTCTGCAGGGTACTAGCTGCAGGGCATTTATTTGCTATAATGCCTAGTGGGCTGTTGGGGCAAAGAGAAAGTATGGTTTTCTGTGGTTCTGACCATGCGCCGTTCTTCCCAGGTCACTTTTCAATAGGATGGACTTTGAAGACTTGGGGTTGGTAGTAGATTGGGAACATCACCTGCCTCCACCTGCTGCCAAAGCTGTGGTTGAGAACCTTCCTAGGAGAGTCATCAGGGGCTCTCAGGCCGGTGAGAACACTAATTCTTTCCACTGTTTGGGGCAGGTTTGTCAGACCCACTCCCTCCCAAGCTAGACTGGTCCGGCCCTTCAGTTTTCCAGGTCAGGTTGGGGCAAGAATGTCCTTGAAGAGTGGGAGCTGGGAGGTAGGGCCTGTAGCGGCTCTCCTGATCAGCACTCCCTCCTAAAGAGCTCAAGTGCCCCGTGTGTCTTTTGGAATTGGAGGAGGAGGAGACTGCCATTGAGATGCCTTGCCATCACCTCTTCCATTCCAGCTGCATTCTGCCCTGGCTAAGCAAGGTACTACTTCCTTTTTCTCAGCCCTCACTTGCCCTGGGCCCAGTTCTCAAGCCTCTCAAGTTCTGTTTATGAACTGTTAGGGGATCAGAAAAGGGAGAGGGGTAGGGGTGGGTATTGGGAGCAGGGGACGAATATTAACTTATGAATACCAGACTTGGGCCGGAACACTGTCCTCCTTTCCTCAGACAAATTCCTGCCCCTTGTGCCGCCATGAGCTGCCCACTGATGATGACACTTACGAGGAACATAGACGAGATAAGGTAGGGGCTGGTGGTAAGTGGAGAGGGTGGTAATGGGGCCCCCCAGTCGCTGTCCTTTTGTTCTCATTTCCTACCTTAGCAGGTCTGGGTAGGCCTCAGGGTCCTTGGCTCTTGTCGTCTTCCTGGTGACTCTGGTGAGGGGCAAGAGCCTTGGCAATGCACATGCTAGGAGCCTGAAAACAGTGATAGCTCCATGATAGCTGTCCCATTGCTCCACCCACAGGCCTTCACATATGGCTCATGCCCACTGTGCTCTCTTTCCTTCAGGCTCGCAAGCAGCAGCAAAAGCACCGACTTGAGAACCTCCACGGAGCCATGTACACATGAGGTGCCTGGGGCTGAGTACCAGTCCTCCACATCTTTCTCTTGCACCTCAAACCCTCATTAAAATTTTCTTTACCCACCCTGCACTGCATTGCTCACAAGCCTGGGCAGGGGTTCCGTACCCTCCATGAGGTCCCTACTGCTACTGGGGAAGGTGGTCCTGAACCACAGAAAGCACCAGGCTGTGTGTCCCTTCCTGTTAAGTGTACACACTGCTCAGTCTGGCCTGAGAGAAGTGGAGCCCAGGTCAAAAACCTGGCTACTAGATCAGCCAGGGCTTGGGCCTGTGCATTCATTGTTGGAAAGCAAAATGTGTCAGGGTCTGGCATCCAATAGTTACTTACAGATGGTAAAGAAAAAAAAGAGAGCCTACATCTCTCTCCCCTGCAATTTTTAGTAAATCTTGGAATCCCACAGGCTTTCTTTAGCTTCATTGTGAAAACTGCTCCTATCAGTTTGAAGTTGCTCCGTGGATTCCCTCCGCCCCCACCTCTGCCCCACCCCAGTATTACCTACTGAGGAAGCAAACTTCAAACCACACTCTTGAGTAGAAGAAGGATCAGGTCAGTTCTTTAGACTGTTTAAAGTCCTAGAAAGGGTTTCAGGCCCTTGAGGGGTATTTGGATAGCACCTGGCAGTCTTTATTCTTGGCAGCCCTGTTCTCAAAGAGCTGTGGCCACTCAGGACTCTCTCTGGGGGCAGGGGATTTTGCCCATCCTTTGCCTAGGGAAAGCCATCCTGGGTTAGTCTCTCTCTTGACTCTTCAGAACAGACTACAAACATGCAAATTAGAATTCTTTTAATAGATATATATATATATAGATATATATATATATATGTATATATATATAAAAGTACTAAAATACCCACATGGTTCTGCTGTGTTATTTGCCCGAAAGAAAGAAAAGGGCAGAGTGAAGAATCCCAGTGCAGCTCAGTGGGCCCCAAAGTGGGCCTTCCCACAGTCTAAGGAGTGCCTATCCCTCCACCCCAAATTCTATCCTCTTGCTGTTCCCAGCCCCCAATTCCTGCAGCAGGAAACCCCAGTGGTTTGGCTTCGGCACTGGGGAGTAGAAGGCACCTGAAGGGCTGGCTGGGTGAAATAAGAATATGTGACCTTTGAACATAAAAACAACAGTGCAGAGTAAGGGAGTAGGTTGTGTGCAGCCCAGGCACCTGCCGGGCCTGTTCCTCCATGGCACGGGTGGGTGTGGGATGGCCACTGCTCCAGCAGCAAGGAAGCCTATATCCCGACAACACTTTCTCAAAACCATTTTTGGTACAAAATAAATGCAAAGTTATGAGGTGGGGAGCTGGTGAGGTTGGCCCGGCCACCCTCCCCAGACCTCAGATCATGGCGATGCTTTCGGGGGCACAGGTGAGGTGAGTGGAGGTGCGACCGCTCCCAGAGGACTTGGCGGCCCGACCAGGGGCAGGCTGCAGCGCAGCCACCAGCGTCTCTGATGACACTGCTCCGAATTCATAGCTGAAAGTGCCGTAGAAAATGAGGATGTCAATGACAAACACCCACTCGCACAGGGCTGCCCCATGCTGCAGCTGAGAGCTCTCGTGCATAAAGAAGACCGCACCTGGAATGGGGCTAAGGAAATGTTCAGTAGGATGTGTGGAAGCCTGTTGACACTCCTACCTTCCTAGATAGATAACTAGGCTGGGGCCAAGAGCCAGGTCTCACCTCCTGGGAGGGTAAGTAGGAAACCACACTGGGCAGTATTTTCTGGATATATGTGTACCAAGCTCTCCCCCAACCCCCCAATGCCCCCCC